TAACTCTGTCAAATATCTGGCTATGTGCTCAGTAGTGGATTCATTTGTATCCCCTGAAAAATTGGTGAATTTCGGGATCTTGTGACCCCTTGGAAATTCTGTTTGCAGAATAAATTCCGCTATAGGGGAAGTGTAGTTGGGGCGTCGAAACTGTGTTTAAACCACTATTAGCCATGATTCTTTCGACTATATTTGTTATATTATTTTCGACCAACAGGTTGTCTTGTCTCATTCTATGAACAACTTCATATGCATCTTGGCCTCTATTGACCATGGCTATTCTCCTGGGTGGTTCCTCAGGATTTGGCTGTCGAATACTTACTGGTTCAACTCTTGATTCTTCGACAATATTTTGTCTAGGTTGTTGAACCTGGTGTATGATTGGTTCTTCTTGAACTCCTATGATATTTTGCCTGCGTCGAACAGGTGGTTGGGGGTTCCCAAAGAAATCCGTTATTCGCGCCATATGCGCTGACAACTGTTGGTATGATTGGGTGTTTTCTTGATTGGTTCTGTTTATATTCTGGATTAAGGGAGAAAAAATAGTATTCATTTCCCTCGCCAATATTTCAACCATATCATGGTTACTAGCGTCCATTTGTTGTCTAAGTGCTGCCTGGATATTTGTTGTTAAAGCAGGCATCTGGGCTGACAGGCCTTGGTTTTGGGCGCTTCGACCAATTGAACCAACATTTTGAATCGGCGAAAAAGTACTTACGTTAGGTTGCGTATATGCGGAAGTGCCATTGTGTAAACCACACATGAATGATGATGAGGGCCCTCCATATGATTGTTCTGTCTAAGGCCTAAAATTTTCGAATCCTGGTGGCCTGGGGGGTGTCGAAGGTGGTATTTGGCCTCCTACATATGTCAAAATAGGGCCATTTTGAGTATTCGAAAGAGACTCTGATGTAGCCCCAAAGGGGGGCACGTTGGTCAAACTAGCCACAGAAGTAGTTCCTATGTAAGGTGGATTCGAATTAGTTGCGGCCATTGATCCTATTGATGTTGGAATGGCCTGGGAACTAGTTGTCGAATTTGTACCGACCGTTCCTGATCCTTGTGGAGGATTTTGTCCTCCTTGATCATTAGTTGTGTTAACCATTCTTCTAGTATGTTTTTTCTTAGGTATTGGTTGAGATTCACTAATAATTCTGCCACTCCTAAGGTTCATACAACGCTTTTGCATATTTTACCAGAAAATAGTCTTTTAAACTGTCTGTTATGATTACAACTGGTTTTTTCTTAAAACGTTATGATACTGTCCCACCGGGTGTGCCAATTTGCTCGCAGTGATTTCTGGCGAAACAACCGCTAGTCTTCCAAACAAATTTGATATGTATGGTTACTCGCAGGATCGACTAGATTGATCCTAGGACATGTGTCTTAACGTTAATTGTAACACTTACTTGACGGTTTATGTTAAACACGACGTAATGCTTGTGCATGTGTTTGTGTAAAGGCTTAAAATACAAAGACTTCTGGAATTAAATTCAAATGTAAAGGTTTGGACGAAACGTCTTAATCAAAAAAGGTTTGAATGTAAATACTTGACAATGAAAAGACTTAAAACTGGAATTAAAGGACTTGATTGTAAAGGAAAGAGCCTTTTAAAAGAAATTTGATACATAAAGCTTTACAGGAAAATGAAGCAATTCGACAGAACACTGGAATTAAAGGACTTGATTGTAAAGGAAAGAGCCTTTTAAAAGAAACTTGATACATAAAGCTTTACAGGAAAATGAAGCAATTCGACAGAACATAAAGAGATTAAGAATAATTGCAGGAGTACGTAAATGGTTCAAAAAAAATTATATTGATAAATGCATTTCAAAGATAAAATGTGTGAGATCATACGTACATTCTCAATGAACTCTTTCTCTGTAACTTGGTACTTGAGTATTTTATGAGTAACTTTGTATGAATTATGATCCTGCTTTTATCCCTAACACTAAGGAACTATTTATAATGTTCTAACCATAACGGTATTATTCTAATGAAAAGCCACGTCGCTTCTTGCATGTCTTTCGACACTCTAAGGCTTCCACGCGTCTTTCTTATCCAAAGAAACTATTTCAAATTTCAAACATTCCCGCTCAAGCCTTCAGCAACAACTTTCTCACGTGGTCGTCAAAACACGCGCTTTTGACAAAACAAAAACACTTGTCCTTTCAAACTGTCTTCTTCGACTCAGAACTGTCTTCTTCGACTCAGATCCAGTAACAACATACTTCGACTATAGCTTTTTTCAATCCATCTTGTGGAAATTTAAATGAATGATTCTTTTATTATCCTGGTCGAAATTCCCAGCCAACAGCGTGCCAATTTATTTATCGTGAAATTGAGTAAACAACTGCTAGTATTCCAAAACAAAGATATTTTGGTTACTTATAGGATCGACTATATTGGTCATAGAACATGTGTTTAGTTTTGGTGATTTATGGTTTTCGAATAGTCATCTTCTCGGATGTAATGGTTAATTAGTAAGTAATTGTAAAACTATGCAAAGTAATAATAGGAAAGTAAAGAGATTTTGACTGGAATGTAAAGGGAATTAAAAGAACTTTTATAAAGATAAATTGACAATTGAATACAAATTGGTGATTCATACGTACATCCTCACAAACTCTTTTCTCGATAAATATTGATACTTTGAGTGAAATTGAGTATTTGTATAGAATTTGAACACACTGAAATCCTAACACAAAGATTCTAATTTATACTAGTTCGACCATAATGGTCTTCTCTTAAAAGAATTCCACGTTTGATGTTTGCATGCCCTTTGTATCTTCAGACTTCCATGCATCCTTTTGGATAAGATTAAACCTTTTGAATTCAAAAATTTCTTCCTTTTGAGGTGCCAAATCAACCAACGTGGTCGTCGAAGCATTCCTTTTCGAAAACTTCAAATATCTTAAGTCCCACTTATTCATAAAAAATAGGACTTTCGCCAATATTTAGCAAGATTAAACAATCCATGAGTCTGTCAGTCGAAATCTTTATGAACTATTCTCATATTTCTTTTAAAACTAATTTTCCTTTGACATCTTTCATTTCTTCTTAACCTTTTCATATCGTCAAAATTTTCAGCTAACATTATCACAATACAGGTGCTTATAAGCTTTATTGTCTAGTCACTAATAAGGTTGAAGTCAGCAGAGACATCATTATGAAGGAAGCAGAAGCATGGGATTGGAGCAAGTCTCAAACCAACTCTGTTGTAGTGTCAACACATGAGTTAACTTCTAAAGATATTTCTGAATCTGAAGGAAATTCTGCTTGTGAAAATGAGTCTGAGCCAGAAGATGACTCTGAAGTTAAAGACGAGTCTGGAGGAGACTCTGTAGATGATTCAAAATCAGAAGATGACTCTAAAGCTGAAGTCGAGTCTAACTCTGAAGGAGACTTTGAAGATGAGTCAGAGTTAGAAGATGACTCTGAAGGTGAATCTGATTCTGACCCAGATTTTGATGATGATTCAGACTCTGGTGGTAATCCAACCTTTGACGGTGGCCATGCTTCTGAAGGTGAAACTTCTGAAGACAGAGCTTCTGAAGGTGGTCCAACTTTTGAAGGTGGTCAAGCATATGATATTGTTCTAGCATCTGAAGAAGATTATGAACAAGTTCATAGGCCACAAAGAATCATACAAATACCAAGAAGATTTGCAGAGTTTGACATGTTTCAAGATACTGAGATAAACACTGAAGGAGAAGTCATTCAATGTGTAACATTAGTAGACTCTGAACTAGTTAATATTGAAGAAGCTCTCAAGAAGAAAATGTGACTGAAGGTCATGAAAGAAGAACTTGAAGTTGTAGAAAGAAACAAGACTTGGGAGTTTACTGAGCTTCCAAAGGAGAATAAGGTCATCATCGTCAAATGGGTTTTCAAGGTGAAATTAAAGTCAGATAGATCAATTGGCAAATAAAAAGCAAGGTTAGTAACGAGAGGATTTCTATAGAAACCTGGATTAGATTACTTTGAATTGTTTGCGCCTGTAGCTAGGCATGAAACAATCAGATTGGTGATTTCTATAGGTGCTAATAGAAATTGACTTCTAATGCATCTAGATGTTAAATTTGACTTAGATCTGATATGCTATTAAGACTCTGATTAGTGTGGAGATAAAGTTGACATAAGAAGTACTTTTGGGTATTTTTTTCAAGTATCTGGAAAGTCTCATTTCTTGGTGCTCCAAGAAGCAACCTATTGTTGCTTTGTTAACCTGTGAAGCTGAGTACATTGCAGGTGCTTTGTCTGCGTGTCAAATTATTTGGTTGATGAATTTGTTACAGGATCTGAAGATCAAGGTGAACAAGTCTTTAAAGCTGATGATAGACAACAAATCAGCCATAAGCCTTGCCAAGAATCCAGTGTTGCGTGAAAGGAGCAACAAAATTGACATGAAGTTTCATTTTTGAAGGAATCAAATCCAGAATGGAACGCTAGAAGTTGTACACTATAAGCAATTGGGAGATGTTCTGGCTAAAGTTATCAAGACTGGATACTTTGTCCATCTGAGAGATGAAATTGGTGTTGTAGATTTTGGTTAGCTAAATATGAATTAAAAGATAGTGTTAGTATTTCATATTCAAAATCTTTCAATATTCAGAAGCAGTATTTTGACTTAGAAGCGCCTACGTAGCAGTTTAATCTTTGTGTATTTAAACAAGTTTGTAACTAATTTTTCGTCATGATTTTCAAAAGAGTTTCTTCCTTCAAGAGTTTAATATAACCGTTTTCTCTCTTTTCTCTTTCTCTCTCACCTTTCATCTTCATCTTTAACCTTATACTATTAACAGTTTTAACACAACTTTTGCTTAAAATATCCAAGTCAGCTCAACTCATACCACTATAAAGTTGGTCCCCCCGGTGCCTCTAAACATTTTAAAATTAAAACTACAAAGATAAATCCAACTGCTTTTTTTAAACAGATAAATCCAACTGTTAAAAAAAGAAATAATACAAAAAGGATAAGCAAACATTATCCACTTGTTCTATTCATGTTTCTTAACCAGAAAGATATTCATAGACTTAGCCAACTGAGGGTAATCTTTAAGTAGTTGTCGATCAGAAAGGGTGTCATCCTCTTCCTGTGGAGTCCATAACACCTCACCAGCCTGTAAGAAATTCAAGAATATAGTAACACTGTATTAACTGAAGAATTGACACTAATAATATATATTGGATGAATGTCTGTCTTAATTAACTTACAAATAAATATTTGCTTGATATAAGGGATTTAAGCTTTTGTAAAACTTCCTTTAAATCTTCAGCTCTATTGATGTTAGGTAACTTATGTGCACCTTTAGCAGCTACCAATACTGTTACCTAACATAAAGCATTTCTCAAAGATAAGAAAAGGTGAAATATATCAAAATAAACACAAGGGATAATCATATAAGCTTTGTGAATATCTCAAGGAATCTTCCACTTTGACGAAAAAGTTATTTTAAAAATGTAAGTCAACATCAAGTTCCTAATCCAACCAAAATGTGAGATACAAGCTAAATATATGTCCTAATGAAGCAATATTGAACCATATGCTTTCACATGTAGACATCTAACATGTCCCTCTACAATGACCATTCCCTCTATAGGAAACCTTTAGAGAATGAATTACGTACCCCATGTGCAATTGAGGATTATTTTGAAGATATGAAGCATGTGAAAGATATGAAGAATGCTACAAGTAAAAGCTATTTTAGAATCTTGGTATACATTTGGATTTACAATAAATTCATCAAAATCACAGTTCCGTGATTTTGTGAAACTTTAGTGTAATTTTTGTATATTCACTGTCAATTGAAACGTGTGCTTTGTGTAATAGCCTCTAAATATGTTATAGTTTACTAATAAGCACTGTTGAGCCGTCTTTGAGGGTGTGCGTGCATGCGGATTACCGCAGAAAATCAAAATTTAACATAGTTAAAACGTAGCTAAATAAGACCTCATAAATATTTGTCACGGTTAAACCGTGGCAAAATAACACTTCTATTTGTTGTTATAGTAAAACTGTGACTAGCGTACAAAGGAAGGATCTCCGAAAACTTAAGACGGTCCTAAAATTTCAGCGGGTAGTTCGCTTAATTTAGGAGATAATATAGTAAATAAGACTGTACTATTTGAACATAGGTTGTATTCTTGTAAATTAGTAAACTTTGCTGAAAGAGACTTTGGTTTCCTTTATTTCTAAAGTTGATCCAGCTTGTTCGATCTAGAAGTTTAGACTCTTGCTTTATTTTTGAAGTTGATCCAGAAGTTTAGACTTGTCAGTCTTTGGAACTTCTCCCCTGTAAAACTGTTAAAGAATTGTGGTTGAACCTAACTCATTTCTACAAAACCGACTTTGTAGGATTGAAATAGCCCCAATCACATTTCTTAACATGATATCAGAGTCTGGTTTAAGATCTAGCAGACCATCTGCTATCAGGTTTTCGCTATCGGACCACCCACCATTATTCCCACGCTCCACATGTCCAGTCTTGGACGTGAGGAGTGTTATGGGTTATGAAGCCCAGAATCTGACAGACACTGCGACATGACATGACACGGACACGGACACTCCGACACCGATAGGTCAAAAACCTAGGACACTGACACCGCTATATATGTCATAGTATTTGAGTTTCATTTATTCATTTAATATCAAAAGAATTAAAATATTCTAATCAAAATTAATGTCCTTGATTCTTCATTGATAACATTGCTTAAATACATGTTTAACCCTTTTAATCGTGCGTGAGGAAAAAATGTACAAGTGTCTAAAAAATGTATAAAGTGTGTTGAGGAAAAGAAAAACACAATTTTTTAAAAGAAAACTTGTTTGAATTATCAAACACGTGCTGTATGAGTGTTATATAGGTATCAGACACCGATTCAAAATGTGTCGAAGCAAAGAAAAAAAATTAATTTTTTGAAGACATTTGTCTGACTTTTCCGACACTTGTTTGACTTTTTCGATATGTGTCGTACGGGTGTCATACAAATGTCGGACACCGTGACACGTCTATTTCTAGAGGTGTCCATGCTTCATAGGTTATGAGTGTCACATCGAATAATATATGGGCTAAACATGTATTTATAAGTGGGATTAAGTTTTTGCGGATAAGTTGAGATTAGGGATTAAGAATGTTGTTAGCCCTTGTCAAAGTAGTTTTGTTCCATAGAGGCATGATATGGATAACATAATTGTTGCTGAAAATGTTCTACATTCTATGCATAAAACTAAGGTGGCAAGGGGTGGATGATTATAAAGAATATCCTTGAGAAAGCTTATGATTGGCTGAAGAGAAGCTTTGTCCAAGAAACCCAATAAATATTGAGTATCCTCAAAAATTAGAGGAGGTAGTCCTTAGTTGCATTTCCTTTCCTACTGTCTTCTTTGGAATGGAGAGGCCCTCAAAGAGTGCTTTTAATGCCTCTTGTGATAACATTACTGTTCCCATCTCTATTACAGAACCGTACATGAAATTTTCACCTCATACGGCTCCTGGAAGGGTCTTAATTTGTTTTCTTTGAAAGTTAGTGTTGGAAGTTATTAGAGAGATAAGTACCGAATCAACAGATTCTGTGTTATATGACTTAGTATAATATTAGTTGTAAATAATAATTAGTAATTAGTTGTCTTCTACCATATTTAGAATTAGCATTTAAAGTGATTTGTCCCTTGTATTCTATAAATACCTTTCATGTATTACTTACTACAATATCAAAGAAATACAGATTATTTGTTTCTTTAGTTAGCTCGAGAAATCCCACTCAATAATACTCTCTAAGTTGTGCGAAATTTAGCAGTCGTCGATACCTGTTCAGTTTGTAATGCAGGTTCATAAACTTTACTCTGCACATTCAGAGACTATTTTTCTTTATTGCAGATATGGTTTGTGTTAAAAGTCTCACATCAGACAATATGTGGCCTAAACATATGTTTATAAGTGGGGGTTATCAGCTAGTTTCCGCTATCAGGCCGCCCACCAAGCCTAATAGTGTTGGGTGCGAGGGATGTTAAGAATATCACATCGGACAATATAGAAATATGTTTCTATCTGCCTAACTAGCAAAACTGGCTGGCTGTAAATCTGATGCAAACAGATTGGAATTGCCGATTCAGAATAGCTCGAGTGTCTCTGGCAGTTCAGAAATGGTATTATTTTTATAAGAGGGAGCAAATCAATCCTTCTTAAAGTATGCACTAAATTGTGATAAGATCTAGGATTTCTACCTGCCTAACTAACTATACTGACTGCCTGCCTGTAAATCTGCTGCAAACAGAGTGGAATTGCCGATTCAGAATAGCTAGAGTGTCTCTGGGTCAGAAATGGTGTTATTTTTAATAACTCTCCTCAAAAATAGCACAGCCATTCTGTACCAGGTTAAAACAAGGGGAAGTGAGCTTAAAATTTTGCAAATTATGCCTCATGTTTATGCTCAGCAGACTACTAAACTAAAGTGAACAGATTGAATAACATTCGTTGGGCTCACACCCTTTGGATTGATGAGTGAAAGTAAACAGTGATAGGGTTGTGACTGATAGTGGGCTGACCAGTGCCTGTGGAGGAGCAATTCAAAAAACTGACGGTGAACTTGTGGCAGGCTTTGATGAGCATGGGAACCTTTACAATTACCTCAGCCTAATCCAAAGAGGTTAGCACGTTATCGAGAGGCTTTAGGCATGTTTGGATTGAGTCTGACTCTTTGGTGGGCCATCAATTTGATAAAAGATGGCTGCCTAGTTAGTCACCATTGCTACAATATTGTTGCTGACATTTGTAGTAGTAAACAGCGCACTGGTGAGGTTATTTTCTCCAAGGCAACTCAAGTTGCTGATGCGTTTGCAAAGCATGATTGGCTCAATGGGGTGGCTCCAATCTTTAATTCACCGCCGGATTTCATTTACTTTACTATGTTAGCAGATAACTCTGGGAACGTGTTCCCTAGAGATTTTAGTATTTTCTGTTTTGTTTCCATTTTGGGGTTAGTCCTCCCCTTTTGTTTATCGGAAAAAAAAAAAGTACATCAGCTGCTCTAAAATGCAATTGACTGGACTCTGTGATCTAATATTATGCTTTTTTTTTCATATTTTTTACTTTGGAGAGGAGTTACTGTTCTCTAACAATCATTCATACACACAAAAGTCTCAGTCTCTTAGCTTTTATTTTCTTTAGTTATCTTTCTAAGACTGCATCTTGTTAAATCTAAACTATCATATAATTAGTTTTGTTTTTGTTCAATCTCTTTGATTTCTTGTGAAAGAAGAGTAAGGTATATCTTTTATGTATTTAAGGCCTATTATCCCTAGGATTGGGTTTTGGTGAGGAGTTATCGCCATTGTAACAATCCATAATGATTGGTAATCTTGCAATAATAGTGGAAAATCTCATACGAAGCTTGAGAACTAGATGTAGACCATATGTGATTTAATGACTGAACCATTATAAAATCTTGTACTCGAGTATTGGTAAGTTGGTGTATTCATTTTTTTGTTAAGGGTCATTTACCGATTACAACTAAGATTAATATTCCAATCGCGTTTCTTAAAACATGGATGAATGCCAGCGCAAAAATTAAATCAAATTTCTGAAATTCATAGATAATACCACTATGTACTTGTTGTCCGGCCCACTGAGAAGTTTCTCTTTTTCAAATTTCTCTGTTTCTTCAGAATCCAACTGCAGAAAACTATTAGTTGATTAATGGCTAAAGCTCTATAACAACTACTATTTGGAACACAACTAAGACATAATAACTTGTCCAATAGTTGAAATTAGAGTTGGTAAAAAAATTTGTCTATGTGAATGAATATTCTAAAAACAATCGTCTCCTGTGAAAAAAAAATTCCTGTGAAATCTCAATCACTCACTTATTTTTACCGGATGTTGTCAAATTCATTAAAAGGAAACTGAAGGATGAAATTTCCACCGGACACTCTTTAGTAAGAATCTCATGAGGGAAGATGTGTCCCCCCACATATTCCGAGAAAATGAAGCACATTTTATAAAATCTCATTAATAATCATATCATACCATGGCGTATTCATCATAACTCCGGCTTCTTCTAATTGTCATATTGTTGTTGTTCACGTTAACTAATGTCTCTTCATCAAACTTTGATCTTTCTTCATTTGATAGTTGGTTGTAGCATTTTTCTCCGTCCTCCTTGCTTTGTTTATGTTCCACCTGACAAAGATTGTTGCTCAAGGTAACACCTTTAACACATATAGGCTGTAACTGATATTGCACTTTAGCCTAATTAGGAGAAGGAATGAACTTACAGATGAATATCCTGCAGTAAAGTAACCATGATGTTGATCCAAAGTTTGTATCGTATCTGGTACAAAAGGACATAGAATAAGAAGTATATCAATTACACAAAGCCTTGTAGAATAGAAAGGTCCATTCATACTTAGCTAAATTATATACAAATAGGTTATTGTAAATCTGATGGATGGTTCGATGGATAGACCATGATACCATATTTTTGGTTTGAGCTAAGGATTACAAGATTGGAGGAGCTGCATTCAAACCTAGTGATGGATAAAATACTAACCTAACAACTAATTACTAATAATGACAGTTTCAGATGAAAAAAAATGCGGGACTTAGGTTTTTCTCCATAACAACAACCATTTTCACAAAGTTCAACAACCATACAAGATTATTACTACTTATGTTCACAAAAATCAAAACGTGTTGTAGTATTAAATTAACGTACGAATTACAATTGGTATTGTTTTACAAGCTTATCCATTGAGAGATATAATTAACTTACCTATTTGTATCAAAGTATGCACTGTTGATTATAGAAAGAGATGTAAAATAATTTGAAGTATGTTAGTAAGGAAACTCAAATGGTCTTATAAAATAGACAAGAAATATTAGAAGCAATTCACCTTTCAATAAATAGCTGACACCTTCCCTAGATGATGTATTAGCAGCTTGTGCAATCCTAGTTAGATCCCTTTGTATTGAGCATCCCGCCTCACCCGACATTCCAACCTTAAACAACAAAAACAAAAACATTTACAATATATGAAGCAGAGACACCGAAAACACGACAATGATACGTAATCACAAGACACATTTTTTCAGAGGTCTGGATGTTATTATAGAGTTTACAATATATGCAACTAAAGCTACTAGTAGTACTTGAAGAATGAACATAACAATAACAATAGATGTTTATGTTAACAAACCTGAAGCTTGAACACGCTAATTGTATTCCCATTAGCATCTTTATTACTGCAAAATCCAACCAAAAAAACACCGAACACGAAGATCATGAAGAACACCATGGGTCCTCTTCCACCATCTTCCTCGTATTCAGAATCCGATTCAGTTGTGTATGATTCAGAGGAGGAAGAATCTGAATCGAAGAAACTCCCTCCCATGACACCTCCTGAAGAGGCTGAAACTAGGGTAAGGTTCCATGTGATTGCCAAAAACACAATCAGTAACAAAACAATAACGCTAACATGTTTTCTCGAGAAAATCATTTGTGGTTTCAATATTGTGAATGGAGAATCAAATTGAGTCTAGTCTTTTCTTTGATGAGACTAAATTGTTGTGGAGAAAATGGTTTGTTTCATAAAAAGTTTATATGCTTTGGAAGGGAATAGAGGAACTGAATTTGACGGAAATAGAGGATCTCATACGCTTTCTCTTTTCTAACTAAGAACTGCGCGGAAATTGGTGTACTGTTTTTTTATTTACGGTTTAATACTAAAATTAATTTTAAAAGGTCATTAGACTATAGTAAAACAAAAGAATCTAACCCAAAATAAAAAATCCAACTAGTCTAGAGAATGTCACTTCATTTTTTATCATCAATTAAAATGCTCATTAATTCATTTGTTATGAAATTATGTGATTTAGTGGTGAAAACTTGAATCTTGAAAATATTTCTTTTCAAATTTCAAGTTTGAATTTTGTTAGCTATAAATAGCTTAAATATTTATACAAAAATTGTTGGAAAAGTTTGAGCTCATTTTTCTTTCCATTTGAACTTAAAAACATATGTACTTGCATCATATGAGTTTGATGGGAAAACATGTTTTTGATTAGAGTTTTGTTTTTCTCTATTACTACTACTATAAAATATGGGGATCAAATAGGTAATAGGGTCATTAATATTCAATTGAACTCATCTCGCTTATATTATTATTTATTTTATTATTTAGTTTTTAGAATTTATAATGAAGAACAATATTGATAGCTTTTTGAAACTGATTGGGAGAAGTCACATTTAGATAAGTCTTATATTTATCAAATGATTGATTGTCTTCATTCTTTTGAGGTTTTCTTTTTTATAGTGCACAATATCGATAGAGTGATGGCATCGCATTCATGGTTATCATTGTTATGGTTTCCTTGTCGCCGTGAAATCATAAAGGGCATTGATTGTCATATATGTTAATATTTCTACAATAACAATTGTCTTTATTTGGGTGACTTGCTTTACATGGGCTTTGTGCCTCTTCGATTCGTCTTGGGGTTAGGGATCATCATGGGGTGTTGAGTCGGTTTAGCGAGCGTCTTGGTCAGTGTAATATAGTGGGAGAACTGACTTGGATGCTTTGTGTTTTATCGCAATTGTTGCGGATAGCAAGAGTCGCCACCGACTTTTCTTTTATCCAATAAAGGAAACGGTGAAAAGAACAGGAAAGACCTTTTGAGAATTTTTCTTGAGTTCGGGGGGTAAGTTATGAAAAGGGAATGTGTTAGCACTATTTTCATCTGTAGTTATCTACGGGCTCTTAGTTGCTAGCTCACTTTGAAATACTTTGTAAAATGTGTTTGTGTTTGTTTTGAAAGTATTTTTGAAAAGTGCATTTATTTAGGCGAACTTTGTAATGATTCTCATCTCTATAAGAATGTATATAAAGTGTTGACTTTTGAAAATATTTTATGAAAGTGTTGGTGTGTTTGAAAGATGTTTTGTTTGAAATGTTTGTGAGCAAGCAACTATGAGCGTTCTACCTGCTCAAAAAGTCTTTGTTCTTTTCCTCCTCCTTTAGATAGTATTATCTTACCATTAGTTAGTAAGAAACCATATCATTGAATGTGAAGGGACGGGCGTGGGTCGTCGTACAGTCATAGAAGGCAACATTGTAGGATACCTTAGCAATTTGTCATAAGGGTCTAAGATCGTTTACCGAAGGAAACGTCGAATGGTCATCGAGGGACTACGATCTTGTAATTGAGGGTCTTTGCTAAAGCATTCCACGTTCGAGGGACATGACTGTTTTATTCTAAGGCAACAAGTGTGGGTTAACCCTAGAGGTGTAAGTGTGTGAAGTATGTTATTTTCATTTCTTTTATCTTGAATTAGGGTTGTCTACTTGTTTGATTTTAGTCTTGCCATACAAATCTTAATACTTGCAATAATATTGAAAGCAATAAATTATGAGAATTTAAAGTTCTACGCTATTACATCATTTTAGGGGGTGGGGATACAAACTACCAATGGAGATGAAAGCAATTAAAACATAATTACTATTACAACCATATTGAATAATGTCAAATAAAATGTACAAGAATATAAAGATAATGCAAAAGAAAAAGAAAAATTATTTTTTTATGATTTTTTATATGAAAAGGTTTTAATATTTTTTTTAACCTAATTAAAGCTAATTAATTTACAAGAAAAGTCAATTAGTTATTCACAAAACCTAAATCCAATTTCATTGAAATAATAATAATAGAAAAAACCTAAGTCAAATTTAACTTTGTTTAGAAAATAATTTTAATTAAGATTAATAAAAGAAATATTTTATATTGTAGAAGAAATGATAAAAATTAATTTAGTAAAATAAAATAAAATGTCTAAATTAAAATATTTTTAATTTAATGAAAATATTTTTTTTGTGGTTTTTAGGTTTAGGTAAAATAAATGTATAAATAAAAAATAATAAAATAAAAAAGAAATGGAAATAGTTGGACAGAGGATTGAAAAATAGAAATGGGGGTTAAAAAAATAGTAAAAAGGGCACTGGACCCAAAATATGGTTTTTTGTTTTGAAATCAGAAATAAAATAAATAATGTATGGGCCTATGTATGAAAAGTAAAAGGGGGGTGAGAATTAGAAATAACTTAAGCCCAAAACAAACAGATCCAACGCATGTTTTTGTGATCCAGTTTGGATGATTTCCTTGGTGTACCATGGACTTATCTTATGGTGTGTTGGATAGAATGCTTGATGGATCTGATGGTGTTGGAAAGAGGGTGCATGATACGCGTACAAAGCTAGCTTGTATTGAATCTGCAAAGGGAAAATAAGAATAACCAAAAGGGTATCGCTGGGGCTCGAACCCAGGTCCCTATAGTGAAAGGTGTGCGCTTTAACCATTGGGGTGGTGATACATCTATTGTTTGAAATACAAAATATTAAATATAAGATAAAGTCTGATTTAAAAATCCAACTTCATCTTCAACCTCCGCGCGCCCGTGTTCTTCCTTCTCCTTCATAATCAAAATCTGAAATCCTTCATCTCTAAACCATTTTCAAAAATATAAACATGAAAGTTGTTCCATTTTTTCATACGAATTCAACCGTGTAAATAACTAAAGCTATAAATCAAATATGAACATGAATTTTATTCAGTACCAAATTCTGACCTAAATTTTCAGAAAGTTCATCTTCAAAATTCGCATCACTTAAGCAACATAAATGAAAACTAAGGGCATGGTTAGCTTTAGGACTATGATGCCTACATTTTTTATTCACAAAGGAACCACGAATGATGCTTGTATAAAGAGTTCAAAGTTAAGAAAACTTACCTTGAAACTGAAATTTGTGTTTTGATTTAGAGCACCTTTCAAGGTGTTGTGATGATCAGACTAGCTTCAATGAACCCCTAGGAAGCTAATGCAATGCTTAGTTTTGATTTAGAGTGGTTGTATTGTCTTGGAGAAGTCAAGTTGTAGGTGGTTGTTTTTTAGTTTGAAAGGTGATGAAGATGGAGTTACAGTTGTGGAACAAGGGTAGGGATGGACTATATTTGATGTATGGAAGCTTTGAAAATGATTTTGAGAGAAAACGCGCGATGGAAATGGAAGATACAAGTTCAAGGTCAGAACTGTATACAAATGGTGTTTTTTGAGCAATTTATGGTTTATGAGTGTTTAAGGTAGTTTTCAGGCTTCTGATTTCATCTTCTAGGCTTGTAAACGATGCCTCAATTTATAGGAAAAGGTTTGAGAGCTTGAGGTGATCAAAATCACAAGATCACATGTTTATGGATTTTGACTTGTTTTTGAAGTAACCTTGACAAACATTGTTCCAATGCATAGTACAAGGCTTGTAGGGTGGATAAGAGCTTTAAACATGTTGCTTCTGACTTTGTGTATTGAGTGTATACAGAGGGAACAAGTTAGAGTCTCCTTACAAGTTGACTTTGTGATTAAAGTCACTTTTCCAAAATAGAAGTGTGAACTTTCTTCCTTAAATGGCAAGATGTATTGGACAATGCTTAAGTCAAGTGATTCATAGCTCAAAAGCTTATGTAATCTTCTTATTAGAGATATATACACAAGTTATAAGGCCTGCAAAGTGATATTGTACAACATGACTTGGAATTTGGTTATGTGTTCTTCATAAAAATGACTTGAAAATCAAGAATGGATGCCTAACTTATTGCCTTCGATTCTCTTAGCTCAAGTATGATCTCTTAAAGTTCTTAGACATTTTGGAAAGCTTGAAACATCCTCTACAACTTTAATTTTTTCCATTTTTTCAAAATCCAATTGGAACTATGTGAAAATGTCCAAGAAGTTGGGACAAAAATCTGCCTAAACTAGGTCAAAATTTCACTAAGTATTTAAGAAAAAGTGCATGACTTCATGGGCCTATAACTCAAAATCTAAGCATTTTTTGGATATGATCCCTCTAATACAAAGTTGTAAATCTCATCAAGATCTACAACTCTCATGTTGAAAGTCTCCTTTGAATCGTCTTGTATCTTGGTGAAAAACTGGCATGAAGTAGTGAAATTATCATGTACAAAAACACTTAGAAAAATTTCTAAGTCTTGAAAAGTTTGACTTTTTAAATTGACTTTTGATTTTCTTGATTTCTTGATGATCAAGCATCATATTTTTTAATGTCTTGATGAATTATGATATTTGAAACTCAAATTTGACCAAAAAGTCAAAGTTTGACTGTTGGTGTATTAATTGACTTTTCCAGCAGCTGACCAAATTTCATCTATCAATTACTTGATCTTGAGGGATGAATTGAATCATTTAATTAGGTAAAAATGATGTAATTAAATCCTTGAAGTCATGTTTCAACATCAATTAATTACTTCGTGTTTGAGGCCTTACTTTGATCTGTTTTGAGTTGGATTACATTATTTGAATTTTGGAAAATTCATGTTCAGTTGGTTTTTGCGATCTTCGTGTCCAGATTTCTAACTCTCTAGTTAATCATTTGGAGATCTACGAGTGGCACGATGTAGATGTTAGATCTGACTTTGATTTAGGCTTTGAATCACT